AGTGTTGTGTTTGTGAAAACAATCCCTTTCATAAGGCCATTGAAAAGAGGGTGTCTACACATTGTTCCCATGTGGTGTCAACAGTATGCACAGAATACCAGGATTCTAAACCTCTTATAATCAAAATGCCCCATGCTAGGGACTCTTTTATTCTGTCAGTATGCTTAAATTTGAAAAAATATTCAAGGATTATTATACCTGGAAAAGGTTGATGCACCACATTCTCATTTGAAAACATCAGAAATGCCTTCCATGGAGTGAGAAGTTTGCTAAACTGAATTAGTGACTACTTAGCTTTCCCTTGCCTTTTATACCCTTCAGTCTTACGCACTGAGCCCTATTTAAATTTGATAAAATTTAGAATTATTTTCCATGATCTTTCTAGTTCTCCATTCTGAGAGATATTTGTGACCAAAGGTGCACATCTAAATAAAGCCAGTCTAAGATTTGGGAGGGAAATTTATTAAGAGGAGAGGCAGGTTTCCAGACTCTGGAAGGGTTCCGAATCAGGAGTTCAGATGGGCATTTTCATGGCAAAGGCTGGGTGAAATAATATGTTACCTGTAGCACTAGGGGACATCTACTTGGCAGGAGAGGTGAGGGAGACATTGCTAGACAAGTGTCCCTTTATTCAGACACCATTCAGAGCTGTCCAGAGCTCCAGCACAACTCACATTTTTCTGTTCTGCAATCTTAATATGTGCCCTAACAGAGCACATCGTAGAGTATGGACTCCATACAAAAACATAGAAAACCATTCTTAACCCTCTGAAAACAGGAGTAGTTCCACTTTTAATAACATATAGCATAACTAACATTTTAAATTCCTTTCCATTCTGAGATTAATTTATCTTTGATGTCTGCCTGGAAGATTTAAGAGCCTTCTCTTAAGAAAAGGAGTGAACTTCTTTCTGGTCTTACCACAGCTATTGATAGCATTCTGTAAGAAAGAAAATATCTAAAAAATTACTTGCATGATAGAAAGTACAATTTCTCCAATGTTTTTATTTGTGAAAGTGTGTGTACCATGATAGGAGAGACATTCGTCTCATCTCTTGAGATTTACGTCCAGTTCTCAAGCCATTCTTTTCCCCTTGGATAGATATTATTGGGGCAAGGTGGGAGTCAAATATATCTAGTGGAACCTCTAGAAGGAACCAATCCTTCTGCTTATGCCAAGGACTTAGAGATATTAGCACTGAGCAGGAAAGAATGGATCACTTTGGCATTTGGTTTACCAATGATCTTTTCAGAAATCCTGCATGGTTACAATAGAGCTAATCAGAAGTACCTTTATGAATTTAGGAACTCAAATTCTATTAAAAGGTGAAAGGACTCCAGACGTTTTTGGAAATCTTCCCTCCAACAGCAAGAACAGAGCCATTCAGGCTTTCAAAAAAGATTGCTCATGAAACTACTAAGCTCATCTGTCTCCATTTGGTGTGGTATTTTGTCACATATTAGTACACACTCAAATATACCGAGGGAGTGAATTTAGATTTTTTTTTTTAACCTATCATCCGTAAAGACATAGGGAGACAAAGTAATGAGCACAAAAGCATCCTGTAGCTGAATTCTAAGTTGAAATGGTATCAGTCAAGCTCTTAGATGTCTCTTCAGCTTGAAAAAATATGCTATTTCTCTCTCAGATACTGTCTTTTAAATAAAAAACAACTCCTACTTCCACCCCAGCAGAAACTTATGTGTTAGGAGAAATGGGGATTCATTCCTCATCCACTGGAATCTCTAAGTAACTGGTTGGCCTACTCAGTCAATCAGGTTCTTTGGATTAGGGGCTGCCTCTTTGCTTTGTCACTCTTGGGCATGACCTGCCTCTGTCTTCTAGGCTGACCAGAGGAACAAAAACTTCTGGGGGCCTACAGAGACCCTGCCCCTTCCATATGCCTGTGGTTCCAATTTGCAGCAGCCCAAGGGACTAACCCGAGGTCAGCTGTGTAGCTGTTGGTGAGACATCAGCTCCAGAACATTGCGGAAGCACTTCCTACATTCTTTGCACAGGTGAGGTTTCTCCCCCAGGTGAGTTTTCTGATGGACAATGAGGCTGGAGCTGCGGGTGAAGCGGTCCCCACAGTCTCTGCACTGAAACGTGCACTCGCCGCGGTGCACGTTGTGGTGCTTACTCAGAGCAGAGTTGTGGCTGAAGCTCTTGCCACACTCTACACACTTGTAAGGCTTCGTCGTTGTATGGACGCGCTGATGCTGGAGGAGGTTGAAGCTGCGGCGGAAGCTCTTGCTGCACACGCTGCACTGGTAAGGACTCTGCCCTGATGAAGTTCCCTCTGAGACTGCAACGTCTCGTAAGTCTCTCACATTACAGCATCTCTTCCTGGAGACCTCTGCCTGTTTGTTCTCAGGGGGTGTTTCTAAATTGTCATTTTGAGACATTTCACCCTTTTGAGAAGCTAGGTCACCATTTTGAAAGATGCCTTCCCTTTGACCTGATGTTACCTTGTGAACTTCTGTATGTCCAGGACCTTCCTCTTCATGATTCTCTGTTTCTTCCTCTAGTCTATTAACTGCTATGGGTAGAAAAAAAAGAAAGTCATTTGCTCCCATTTGTAAACAACCGGCAATTCTTTAGACCTGTACATTGAAGCTAAGAACTTTAATCAGTTACACTATTAAGACACACATTTACATTTAGTGTAATAGTGTAATAAAAAATTATGTTTTGTCACCTGAAGGATAATATAAATTACAGTTCCTGTGAAAGAAAATGTACAAAGGAACAGAGCCCTGAGTATTATTGCAGGAGAAACAGGAGGAGCCAGTAAAGGTTTTGGGAAGGCACAAACTAGCTGTTGAGTAACTTAACCATCCCTCCTGTAGCAGCAATTTAAACATGAGCACATGTATTACAGTCTGAACAGAATCCAAGCTGTGCCACACCAAGATCAGGGTTTTCATTGTGTTTGGTACTACAAACGGGACAGAAATCTATCATGCTTGCTGTTTTCTGCATCATCAGTACTATTTTCTACTATTGTCTGCAACTTTGATACCAAAATCAAAAAAAGAACTGGAATTCTCAGCAAGCTTTTAAGTCACAAGTGAACATTATGAACATTTGATCTCTTGCAAAGGACAGGCTAGAAGGTTTAATTCAAATCAAATAATATGCTTGCGTTCAGCTAACAGTATATACCTTAGGTATGTAGTAAAGCCAGATGGTTTACTACTTTCTACTCTTTAATAATCAGTGAGTTACAACCATCTGGTCTGTCCCCTGAAAAATCCTGAAAGAAATCTCACTTGAGGAGCACTTGAGGACACCATAAATGGGTAAAAAACAATATTTTTTAACTTATGTACCAAAATCCACAGAATAATGCAAGCTTCTCTCCTTTATCTCCCTCATTTAAAACAAAAGTATCTTACTTGGAAGGCCAAGAGGGAAATCTGATTCCATAGTTCCTGTTTTCATGGTTCTCTTTAGTGAGGTGCCAAGTATGATGCTGGATTTCTTGCTTTAGACATCAAAACTAAATCATTAAAAACAGCTAGGCCCAGGAATGTCAAATAACCCAACTGATCAGGCTATATTATTGCTAAATCATATACTAAAGCATTTACTGCTTTCTCAACAGTCATCATTTTGTGTATGTTCTCATATACACAATTAATTCTATGTGTTCCCATCTCTTATAGCTTCTTACCCTTCTCTTGAAGGAACTGGTGATCTTCATTAGCCACAGAGAATAGCTCATATTTGAGCTCTGGTTGTTTGCTTTCTCCTGCCCCTTCCTGGGATGGCTGTTCAAAATCAGGCTGCGGCTGATTAAGTGGAGGCTCCAATAATTTCACAGCAGCAGCCATCTTCACACGGTTCACTTCTTCAATATTCTGCTCTGTAACCTGACAATAAACCAAGCACACTGTGAAGAGAAAGGCCTTGGAATCACTAGGAAGTCAGATCAGGTATCCCTGAAGAATGAAGATGCATCTCACCCTCACTCTTCTCACGGCTGTGGTGTTGCAGAATAAATGAAGGAGTACCAGAAGTCTGATACTCTATTAAGCTAACTTGATGCATGTGAAAAATGTGCCTATGGAGCTGTTTAAATTGCCACGTGGGAGCAGTATTCTTCCATCCCAAGCAGCGCTTCCTCAACTGAAGCTACACTGGAATATAAATTCCTTCTGAGGCTGTTGAGTCAAATTATATTTTAAAGACCAGTGCTTTTAGGATTTTTGGTGCTGGATTGAGCAATGATGTGAAGTAGTTCTGGAGAGACCGAGAGCAGTTTCTCAGACAGTACTTACCATCCATGTTTGTCATGTCTCTTCGCACCATGTGCACTGTTGAATGAAACTTTGACATTGCATTTCCAAATACTTCTAAGTTCCAGTAGAAGTCATTGTTTTTGCATTTGAAAAATATCCTTAGTCTTTTTGTGCTTCCAGCTTTTACTTGTATAATGGAGTACTGTTATCTCCATACATTTTTACTTTTAGGGAGACATTAAGGTTAAATGTATGAATGTTCACATTCATGACAGAAATAAATGTGTATATGATGATGGATTAATTGTCTTATTTCTTTATTGCAGAAAGTGAGAGTCTTAGCTGTGCCTTACATTTTTAAATGGGAATTGTCATAAGTTTCTCTGCAAGAAGACTGTCTTTTAACAGAAATTCCAATTTGATGAGGACAGTTTCAGTATTATACTCAAAATTAGCAAATACAGACACTTGTATTCCACAGATATTTTAAAGAAAAAGTGGGTTTTATTTGTAAGCTCAATTTTATGGTCATTCAATGCAACAAGTAGAATTAATAACATTTAAGATTTCATCAAGGTATATTTGCTATATCTAAGTTAGTTAGCTTGCTACCTTATGGCAACTCATATGCCTAAGCCTGTCTCTTTTATTGTGTGAGATTTTTCATTGTTTCAGCAAAATTCATGACACACTCAGGCCTTCAGTTCCTATTTGACAAGTAAGAGAGAACGAGCGCCTCTTCTAGGTACTAAATCTCTCTTGCCTCTCTTTACAAAGAAAGGTTAGACTCTTTTTTGACGTAGGTTGTGGAGGAGCCAATGAGGAGAGGTGGGCTACTGGACCTCGTGCTTACAAATAGAGAGGGACTCGCAGGAGATGTGAAGGTGGGAGGTAGCCTCGGCTGCAGTAACCATGAGTTGGTGGAGTTCGGGATCCAACAAGGAGGAGGCAGGGCTGTAAGTAGCCTTGCGACCATGGACATCAGGAGGTCCAACTTTAGCCTCTTCAGAGACCTCCTCGGAAGAATCCCACGGGCTAGAGCTCTAGAAGGAAGAGGAGCCCAAGAGAGCTGGTTAATTTTCGAGCGGCACTTCCTCCACGCCCAGCTACAGTGCATCCCTGTGTGTAAGAAGTCAGGCAGAGAGGGCAGGAGACCCATGTGGATGAGCAAGGAGCTTGTGGCAATACTCAAGCAGAAGAAGGCAGTATGCAGAATGTGAAAAAAAGGACAGGCCCCCTGGGAGAAATACAGGAACGTAGTCAGGGAATGCAGGGATGCAACAAGGAAAGCTAAGGCATGTTTGGAATGCAACCTGGCAAGGGATGTTAAAAATGAGAAGAAAAACTTCTTCAAATATATTAACAGCAAAAGGAAAATCAGGGAAAACATGGGTCTGCCGGTGAACGGGATGGACACCCTGGTTATGAAAAACACAGAAAAAGACGAGTTGCTGAATGCCTTCTTTGCTTCGGTGTTTACCAAGGGCAGCCCTTTAGAGTCCCAGGCCCTAGGGACAAGAGAAGAAGCTGGTGGAGAGGAAGACTCGCCCTGGGTAGCGGAAGATTGGGTCAGAGAGCACCTAAGGAAACTCGATACCCACAAATCCATGGACCCTGATGGGATGAACCCCAGAGTGCTGCGGGAGCTGGCAGATGTTATAGCTAAGTCGCTCTCCATCATCTTTGAAAGATCCTGGAGAATGGGGGAGGTGCCGGAGGACTGGAAGAAAGCCAATGTCACACCAGTCTTCAAAAAAGGCAAGAAGGAGGACCCAGACAACTACAGGCCAGTGAGCCTCATCTCCGTCCCCAGAAAAGTTATGGAACGGCTCATACTGGCTGTTGTCTCCAGGCACATGGAGGACAAGAAGGTGCCCAAGAGTAGTCATCATGGATTCACCGAGGGGAAATCCTGCTTGACTAACCTGATAGCCTTCTATGATGGAAAGACCAGCTGGGTAGATGAGAGGAGAGCAGTGGATGTCGTCTATCTCGACTTCACCGAGGCTTTTGACACCGTCCCTCACAACATCCTCCTGGGCAAGCTCCGGAAGTGTGGGATAGATGAGTGGACAGTGAGGTGGATTAGGAATTGGCTGGATGGCAGAGCCCAGAGGATGGTGATCAGCGGTGCAGAGTCTAGTTAGAGGCCTGTAGCTAGCGGTGTCCCCCAGGGGTCAGTCCTTGGCCCAGTCCTGTTCAA